AAGAAGAAGAAGAAGAAGAGGAGGAGGAGGAGGCAAAGAAGAAGAAGGAGAAAAAGAAGAAGAAGAAGAAAAAGAAGAAGAAGAAGAAAAAGAAGAAGAACAACAACAACAATTTACAACAAAATAAAGCACAAACCACTCTTTCCCGTGCAGCAAGCCATCGATGTGACCGGTGGAGAGTAGGGCCCGGAACATGACCACGCCCACAAAGGTCTGCCATCTGAGGGAAAACAGTGAGAGCGGTTCCTTATGTATTATATACACTTGTCTTTATCTTCCTTCAACTCATGAAAGTCGATACATCTACTGACAAGACAACATTTTTCATTTAAGTTTTTTCTCATCGTCCTCATTCATTACATGAACATCTGGCTTATTGTCTGCATTACCATTTTGTACCCTAATGATATCAAATCTTCATTTTTTTCTGAATAATTTGGGGGAAATACAAGCTTGCAGCTTGAAACTTATCTTTTTATGACAAAAATGCTAACGTGTGCACATTTCCAACTAAACTTGCTGCAATTAAGAGTGAAAACTGTATGAGTTCAGTATGTTTAACAAGACTTGGAAGGCACATAATTCTCTAGGGTGCGCACATTAATTCTTGCTAAAAACTTTTGTAGCCCTCACAGGTACAGTAGTCACTGATTATAATGCATGTTAATGTTTTACACCACCGTCAACACAATTCAAATCATTTAGCAAATAGGTCCTTCGACCCTGACTATCAGGGCCAAGCAAGGTTGTGCTGGTTACTACATCTAAGCAGAATGATTGGTCATAATTGAGAGCAAGAGGGATTAAGAAGAAAGGAGACATCCTAGATCCTACTCACCCTTGGAATATGGTCGGATACGTGAACTTCAGGACCGACAGAACATACTGAAAAAGGGTGGATTATAAAATTTAAAAAATGAGTTGAACAAAAATATGTAGTAGAAAACAAAATAAATCCTTCTTTCTCTCCCTTTCTCACTAGCTTTGACTGTTAATCCAAAGGGAAAAGATAAAGCTGATGTTTAAAAAAAAGTACTTAAAAAAAAGTCTGGCTAAATAATCAGTATGCACAGACAAAGAAGGCTCCACATTTCTATGCACAGCAGTAGCAACTGACCAACGTTCATGAAAGTTGGAAAAAGCCTTTCAACAGCCTTAGTTCCAAGTTCCACATAAATAGTCAAATATCTGAGGAAAGTAAGTAATCTGGCTGTTAAGGAGGCTTGCGGGTCAGTCGCATGGTCCACAGAACTCATTGTTTCCTTTGGACACTATGGCTTTATTAATAAACTTAATTCTTAAAAACTTTCTATATTAAGTAGGCTCCACATTCATATTGTTCTAAACTTCAAGCTGTTTAGCTTGATTACACATGCAATATCTTTTGGAGCAATTTTTTCAACTTTAAAGTTTGTTATAATTCTTTAAAATACATTTGTTTGTCAATTTTCTATCTTTAAACCCTCTCCAGGGATATAAAAAGGCCCTAAAAAAATTCTGAAAACATGTAACATAATGAAACAGCAAGAGGTGGGAGCCTTTACGGGGTGGTGGGGGTATCCGGGAGGCATACTTCTCCAGTTATTGCTTCTTTTCTTACAAAAAATATTAAGTTCATACCTGAGTTCTTTCTCTTGTGCACTTTGGTTTTTTCGAGATGTTTCAAACATGAGCACAGTCATAGCTAAGTAAACTATAGTGTATCGCCAGTATCGGCATTGGCTCGTCAATACACGACATTGTATCACTGAAAACTAACTCATCTTTGTTTATTAAATTTTCCTCAGGAACTTGCACTTAGTAGAAATTCGCTGTGAGTATCTTTTGTTAAGAGCCATCCTTTGACTATCCTTTCGCCCTATATTTACAATAATATTTCAGTAAACTGACTATTCCAGAAAATGACAGACAGCAGAGAAAGATATTTTGTACCTAAAACTGATTTTCATGATACATTACAGTATGATCATGAACCTGCAATTTTTTAGCTTTTTGATAATCACAAGTTAATTTTTGGACATTTTTGTTTCTCCAATATGTTTTACTAGAAAAGATATGAAATCTTAAGTAGAGCAGAGCAGAGTGAAAAATTAAAGGTAAAATGAAAAAAATGTAAGTAAAAGTAATGAACAATAGGCAGCATGAGTATGTAGTGTGAGTAGCATATAAATATTTCTTCAAATAAAGCTTAAGATGGCCTTACTAACAGCGCAATGGGCTGATAAAACGAGGCCCGAGAAAGTCTAGAGTGAAGCACTGAAAGGTTTACAGTCACAAACACACAAAATTTGTACCTTGTTGGCAAAGTTTGTTCCAATGAACAGAGCACAGAACATACAGGCAAACAAAACGTTTTGCCTCATCGGTCAGCAGTAAGACGTCACTTAAACATTAATATCAGCGACGTTGTACTCGTGACAGAACCACAAGATATCATTCCACTGCATCACCTGAAATATGTTTCAGTGTCATTTGAATCTCTGATGTGATTTTTTTAAAAACATATACATATTTTTTTACTTTTGAAATGCACAATACACCACCATGAACACTTTTAAAATCATTCAGTCTAAACCATCCCAGAGGGATCCCCACTTTGTCAGTCATGGAGGCAACGGCAACACGACGGCAGCCTGCTGACTTGGATTATAATTTTTCTTTGCAACTTGCAGAACTGTTCGGTTCGGTCGTCTGTGATTGTGAAGCCCTTTTCTTCCGCCCAGATTGATTCTGATGCTGTACACTACGTAAACTGAGAAGACGAAGAAGACTTTCTAAGAGTAGGTCTATGTCAATTTGGATATGAAAGTAAGTTCAAACAAAGTTCAACGACGCAGAGCAAATGATTGACCGTTTCGATCCGGATCGTTGCTTTTAAAGTTTTCCAAGCGCAAGAAATTTAGCACTTACAAGGGATTGGACTCAATAGGACGCTGAGCAGCAAATGGGAGTAGAACTATATAAGGGGAGGGAGTTTGGAAACTGTCAGTGTAAACTGCGTGCTACATAAAATCATTACTATTTTTCGAATCACAATCAGATGACGTTGCGGGCATCCCCCTTGCGAGGTCAACAAGATGGCTGTTACTATAAATATCGGCCAATGGCGTTCAGCTGTCGTTCTCTTGCTATTCACTTGTCATTATAACCCATTCTCATGGCACTCCTATACAATTGCGGTCCTGTTTGTTTACATGATGGCCACTGTGGAAGTGAATCTAGATCTAGATAATAGATCTAGATTATAGATTATAGAGATCAAGGTAATTTTGTAGTTTCATTCGTAAAAGTCCAAGAATGCCAGAGACCCTGAATTGCCAAGTTGAGGAGTGAAGTAAGTAAGAGACTTGGAAGGAAGCACTAAAGCCACAAAATCCAAATTCAAGTAAAGAATGGCGCTTTTTCGGCAGTTCCCACCGCCTAATTATTATTCTGTTATCACAGTGTAGAATTCTGTGGTTCATGGAGAACGCTAAACTGGTTGGCCTCGATCTAGGATCGGTGAACGCACACCGGGTGAGAATAGCCAAAAGATTCGCCAGCGCTATTCTCACCCGCGGTGAGAATAGAGGTGGCCATAGGCAACACAAAGAACAGGGATGCAACTTAAAACTGCAAAAATCAAATTATGGTAAACCCCCCCATGCACCCCCCCGTCAGGGGGGGGCCGGGCCCCATAGTGGCCACCTCTATACTCACCCCGGGTGAGAATAGTGCACGCGAGTCTTTTGGCTGTTCTCACCCTGTGCGCGTTCACTGTTATAGCCCACATATAAGGCCAACCAATTTTGCTTTCATCCTAAACCACAGAATTCTACACTGTGAAAACAGAAAAATTGTAGAATTCTTCTGTGCAGTGAACAAATGTTCCATTACTACTATTAGCCTACTAAAAGCGTACAATTTTGTCTGTGGGCAGTGGAGAGAGAGAGAGAGGAGTAGCGCGAGAACTTCCGGGCAAAACAAAATGGCGACCCGCATAGTTCGGCTCGATTCGAAAAGTTAATTTTATAGCCGTAGCATCTTTGTAGATGACCAAATTAATTTACTTTTGTGTTTTAACATAATTTTTTAACTTTGCTTTGGTCAATTTGATCGTCCACACCGATAGACAGTATTCAGAAAGAGATGGAGAGAGAGAAGAGGGGAGGAGTAGATCTTGCGAGAACTTCCGGGCAAAACAAAATGGCGACCCCCGTAGTTCGGCTCGATTCGAAAAGTGAAATAGCCATAGCATCTTTGTAGTCGATAAAATTAGCTTACTTTTGTGCTATAACGTAATCTTTTCTTTGCCTTTATCCATTTGATTATCCACATCGATAGAAAGTATTCCGAAATTAGGAAAAACAGGTCTTGTTTCACATCGGGTGAGAAAAGCCTACGATGGCAAGTCTCACCCGGGGTGAGAGGTCGATCGTATTTCTATTCTCACCCCGGGTGAGAATAGCCACTTCCCCCCCTGAAACCCCCCTATTCTCTTGGGGCCCAAACTGGCGAATAATAATAGTAATACGGGGTGGGAACTTCTGAAAAAGGGCCATTCTTCGCTTAAATTTTGATTTTCTCCTCACCTGGCAATTCAGGGTTTCTGACGTTCAGCTTTGGACTTTAACGAACGAAACTACAAAATCGCCGGATCGTGGACTTAAACGAACGGAACTAGATCTAGATCTAGACTAGACTCTAGAATCTACAGCACTGGGGCACAAAGACGACAAAGTGTGCAAACTACGTACGGGACACCAATGGCCAAATGATAGCAATCGTAGCAGAAGTGCCCTCCTCACAACGGTGAAAGACTTTATTTAGGCTTTAAGTAGTGAGAAGCCATCAGCATGAAATAAAAACCTAGACTAAAGCTAATTTCACGAATACCATTAAGAAATATAATATAGACTTCTAGTGATCAGACACACTGACTTACTCCTGGCGAACATTGATCGTCTCCATTATTGTTGATGTAGACTTTGTCGACTGTAGAAGTAGAGCCAATGTATGTGTAGTCTTGTAGTGGATAGCAGTAGAAAAAGTATAAACTCATTATCGTGGCTTTGTCCCTTCGAAGATCGAAGCCGAGGAGAATTCATTTGTATGGTTTGGAAATAATTTTTAGAAATAACCACAAAAAAAACCCTCAGTAATATAAGGATATATCTATCTTGTGTGGCCCATAAAATTTACAATGTTCATAGTGCAGAAGAAGGTAAGAAAGGAAACGGAAAGGAAAAGCACGAAAGCCGACACCCCTCCTAAAAAAACACAACAAAAAAACCTACCTCCGCTTGGGGGGGGGGGGGGGGAGGGGGGGGGGGGCAGTTGTAAATATTATTATAAGCCTACTTTGGTAATAGATTAATGTAGATCTAGTTTGTCCGTCACTGTTTGTCAATGAATTTGCAGGGGGACTACTTTTTAAATTGTTACTTACTTGGTTACTTACTTGGTTGGAGAATAGGCGCCATTGCAGGCGGCACAATGCCATAGCTGTCCCTCCCTTCTCTCGAGGATCCATGAAATGAAAGGGTCTGCCTGCTGATCGTGCTAGTTAACAGCTGGTTGGATATTCTTCTGGCTTTTCCACGCAGGTTGCTGTCTCTCTCCGACCCTCTAGAGACATCAGCTTCCCTTTGTCTATTATTCATTGTGTGTAAAGTGATGCCTTCATCTCCTTTGTGGTCGTTGAACCATGCTGTAAATGCTGCCATGACTGTTGGTGGATCTAATTGCATGGTGCTGCAAATCTCAGGCTGGCTGACAAGCTTATCGTCAGCACGTTCATTGCTAAAGTTCTATACAATCCTTGTGAGTCTGCTTTTTTGCATTGCCTCTCGCCACTCTGCATACATCGTGTGTTCCTTCACTTTTTCGAGGGTACTCATCGAGTCGGTGACGAGGATGGCAGACTGATACTCCGTCGTCTTAATCCAGTTAAGGGCTTCTGTGATGGCTTTCATCTCCATGCACATGCTGGACGTGGTTATACTAGTGGTGCCTGACAGCTCTCTCTGTATGACCCCGTTTACACGAGCGCTGAAAGCCCATCCAGATATTTTGACTTCACGCTGTACTGAACCATCTGTGAAGTTGACTACGTCGCCCTGTTCACTGTTCTCCTCTATCAGCGTCTCTACCTCGGCATTGGCTGATCCCTCTGGCCACTCACGACATTCTCTGCTTAAGGTTGCTACCACTCGAGTATACTGCCCAGGTTTGTCAGTGACGCTGACCCATGCGCTGCCCCTTCGGATGTCTTGCACTTCACAGCATTAAAATTTAGTCAAAGTCGTCGCTGCCTCATTCATCCATTCAGTCCCTCTAAGCAGACGCGTGTGTACAGTTCTTTCCACTTTGTCATGCAGTGGTTGCTGATCATCGGCGCTGACTCTCAAATACGCATTCACCTGAGCAATCTCGTGACGTTCTACCATTGCTGGGAGGTCCAGGAGACAATTCATAACCTCGCAGGTGGGGGCTCTCATGGCCTAGAGGTTAAGGTGTTGGCCTCTCACTCAAATGGTCCCGGGTTCGAATCCGGGTAGCGACCGAAAAATTTTCTTCTCTAAATTTGTCTCCTTTCACCTCATTTCCTGCTCTCTAGCAATGTTTTGTCGTCTGCTTTCGTCTCCTCCTTCTGTCTCCACCCCCACACCTCCTTTGCCCCTTTCTTTGGGCTCCTGATTCTTTCTGCAGCCTTTCTACTGCTACTCCTTCGCTTCCTCTTACTGCTGTCTTTCAGCCACACCCCTGATCTTCTGGTAGGAAAGATCTACACCTATCCTTCTCGGACAAGGGCGAAAAAATCTCAGAGGGCCCGTGTGCAAGTTGCGCACGTTAAAGATCCCTTGGTGGTCTAAAATCGATAAGAGTAGGCTTCGGCCACCACCCGGGCAAAATTCAAAATTTCCTACCAACTGAAAATATTAGGTGTGTCCCGTGCGCTCATATGACCTTATGCAGTTGCGAGCGCCGTAAAACACTTTACCAAAACCAAAAAAAACAACAAACAAACCTCGCAGGATGTGTCTTGCGTGCATCCGAGAACAGTCTGCATACCTTCATCTGAATTCTTTCGAAGCATTTCAGCTGCGACGTTGACAAAGTAAGGAGACTGTGGCCATAGTCTATCACAGACAGCACACGGGTCTGTCAATAGTAAAACAGCGAAATAGATTTTTTTAAAGGATAAAGATAACTTATTCTGGCCTTTGCTATGACCAATGAGACCAATTCTGGCAGAAAAGAGTTTTCCGAATGCTTCGTTTCCACTAAGTCTATACAGTGAGGCAGCCTGGTGGAATCAGTCTCTCGTCAAAATAATCAAAGTGAAGAAACTTGCATTTTTGTGAAATTTTATCAAATTTTTGTTTTTTGGCTCAACACCTTTCATGCCCATTAAAGAACTCATTTTTAAGTGAATTTTTCTAAAAACGTTGAATTTTTCTGAAAATGGCACAGAAAGTGTAAATTTTCAGTTACCACGGACTCTTATACTTATACTAAGGAAACAACTATTCTTTGGCGGCCGTTTTCTCACTAATTTTACTTCTGAAAACAGGTGATCCCCACCTCATTCATTCGCAAATATCTCTATTTGTATTCAAGATCAATTTACATTTTTTCATCCAAATAAAGACAAGTAAACAAGCTTTAAGATGATACCAATAACTCTACGAGAGCCTGATTCCACCACGCTGCCTCACTTTAAGCGGGTGCGCGTGGCTCAAGAGCTTTTCTCTTTTTCTTTGACTTCAGCATTTGTAATTCGTGAAACCTTGTATGATTTGCTTCCCTGTGTAAAGTGCCGCTCTCAATTTGATCTGCCAGGCGATGCTCTTTGAGGGCAACCTTAACCAGCGGCGGTGGATGGTTCTAAGTGTGGGTGGGGCTGAGAAATTAGGGTAGGTAGAGTTCAAAGGTAAGATATCCTTGGTTTAGAGGACATTCCAGTTATGTGTGAGTATGTTTCATTTACACATTCACAAGCACACGTGCCCATATGACCTTATACAGTTGCGAGTGCCATAAAACACTTACCC